TTTAAATGTTGTAAATTTATGCACAACAGGCTAGAGCAACAACAACGATCATATAGTGGCCGATTAAAATGTGAAAACGAATTGAGTGACAAATGATTAAAAGAGAGCGCTTTATATTTAAGTTAGCTATAAAATAGTGTGAATATTTTTCGTTATTTTCAAATATAATATATTGAAAGAACTAAGAACACAATGTTACGTATGGTAGGTATTTCACATTTAAAACTTAATATTTATTTAAAAACAAAACTACAATAAAAATGCATGGCATTTGATTATTCACAAGGGGGAKGTAAGAGTTAAACTTTGTGGACCGTATAACAAGTTAACAATTGCTTAGAAGTTAACATTGATGTGTGCGGGATCGTTGATCACTTGAGCCTGCTCCTCCGGATAACGGATGGATTGACCGGGCAAGCGTTCGTATTGAGCTGTGGAATAAGAAGTTAATAATGTAAAAGGCTATAATTTTCTAGCTTGTTRAAAACTCTTACCAATAATCTGTTCTTTGATGGCATCGATGTTTTGAGCGTAAGCCAAGCACAAGATGCAGGCGGCAAGAACGAATACAATCTAAAAGAAATGAAATGAATGAATCGCATAAATATTTATATATTATTCATATATTTTTATTATTAAGTTAGACATCGAAAGGCAAAAGTTTAGCATTTTATAAAAGAGAAGATATCACGTAAGATTTTAAATAATAAATTTTTTGAAAATGTGTCATTATTTTTTTTTTTTTGAAATTTATTTTAACTTAAGAATTTAAAATTTTTTAACCATTGTACCATTTTTTTAATGTGATATTAATTATTGTTTTTTTTTCAAGTTCAATTTATATATTTAATCTTTTTAATTTTGGTGCAACTACATTCATTTTGTATATTTTTCGTATACTTATATATTTTGTATTTCATGAATAATTAAATTATTAAGAAAGGCAAAATTAAATTGCAGCGYTTAAAATATAAATTTGTCAAGTAAATAATTATCAAATAAAACAATTATTGGAAGTTTCTTTACTTTAGTAAGT